CCTGGAAGGCTGACATCTTGTATACAGAATAAAACTGTGCCAGAGGTTTACAGGTATCTCACATCCCAATTTTCTAAGTAGAATTATTCTTGTACTTAGAAACCCTACATCATTTACCTCCCCCCCCCCCCCAGCAGATGACTTAATTCCTTAACTATATTTGAAAGCTACAAGTTCAAATAACTGTCCTCTTTACACATTGTATGACTGTAGAATATGTAGAATGACTACTTGGGACATGAATTCAATGCTACAGTGATTCAATAGTTACCTATTCTTTCCTCCTCCTCTAAAGAAGAAGAAAGAAGAGAAGACAAGACAGTGGATGCACTGGGATTTGTGGTAATGGTTCAGGTGCACTTTATGAATCCAAAACCTATAGACTTTACAACTAAAAACTTGTAAGCCTCACTGATTGCTCAGTAATTAGATTACCAGGTCTTTTTATATGTCAGCTGTACAATATAAAACCAGAAATATAAAAGTTAAGACTGAAATTCAATGTCTGCTTCTACAATGGTGAAGAACTGGGGTAAATTAAGACATTACAGGTATAAAAAAGAATTTATACCAGGCTAAAATTCCCTTTACCCCCTGACACAATAAGCTAGTTTTCCTGTAGCCACTTTATGGATTATGACTCTTTTACTCTACTTTCACTGACCAAACACAAACATTCTTTGTAACAAATGGAGCAAGCTGGAGGTGGGTGGAGGGTGGGACAGGATGAGAGATATAGAGAAAGGGAGACACACAGACAGACAGAGATGGGGAGACAAGGATGTCTTGGACCTCCTTTTTTCTCCATTATGAAATTCCTTTAACCTACCATTTATGGTATATAATGTTGTAAAGACCTTAATTGTTTCAGGCAACCAAAAAAGGAAGAAAAGCACAGGCACAGTGGCTTTGCAACTAGCCTTTCAGTCTAGAGAAAAGCTTATCATACAGAGTTTAAGCAGTAAGTCTTTAGATTAAGCTTCAGAAACAGGCTCCATTTATAGCTAGAAAAACCCCCAGATTTTCCTTTAGAAACTCATCTAATTCCTTACCTTGGCAGAGCAATAAATTTCAAGGTTAATTTTTATTAGATTGGTCAATGCAAGATTGATCAATACAGAATGTTTCCCCTCCAATTTAACTGAAGCACAGTTGCTAATTAAATGAATAATTCTGGGACTCCTGGAAAATATAATGTAGTCATAAGGATTGCAAAAAAGGGATGGAAAGAGGACAGCGCTATTTGTGTCAGAAAAGACAGTGGTAGAGGGTTGTTAACTGGTCCTCAGCCACTAATCTAGACAGAATCTAACAGGAAGAAGTACATCTAATTATTGAACAACTACGCATTTTTTCTTCTGTAGGATCCCACTCAGATTTGTATTGAAGCACTGTTACTTCTGAAGTAGAAAGCATTCTGCTGGCAGACAACTTGAATATATCTACAGATATTGCCAAAAAAGTGGTTTTGGAAGACCTATATCACAAAAAGCATCATCAACTCTTAAGTCCATTCCTTAATATGCAACTTTAATATGCATGAGAAGACTGAGGTAAATATTCATTTGGGGTATCTGACCCGTGTGAAAACTATAGCGTATCCCGGACTTTCATCCGTATGCTGAAAAGTTACCTAACAGGTTAAGATGAAAACCTCTTCCTAGCATAGACCGATTTAGAGAGCAAAGAGAACCTTAACTTACAACTCATTTAAAGATCCACAGTGAAATTCACAGAGCTCAATTTAACTCCGTAAGGGAATCCACTCCTTAGTTTCCAACACTATCATATTGTGTGGCTCAAGGAAGTCTACTATTTGCATCAAGCTTTTACAGATACCTAAATGACAGCTCTGTTCTACGAGGCACTGAACTTTTATATACAGGGAGAAAAACCTGTCCTGAAATCCTCACCAACTACAGTCAAAAAACTCCCAACGTTATTTGTCATGGAACTGAAAGAGATGAAAGGTCAACACTGAGTTCTTTGGAATCAGTTGGAGCCTCATTTTTAAAGGGACTGACTTCACCGGATAAACAATACTGTCAACTCGGATCATGTTTACATGTTTTAGCAGATGAGAATCTGGTACATGACTGTGGGTATGTCCACACAAATATTATGTAAACACTGCGGTCAGTATTTATAGATTTCTGTCTTCTGTGGAAAATGCCATTTCTATGAGTACACTGGAACTATTACGATAGGGCAAAGTTTGTTCTCAGCTGAGATGCTGTCTTTCAGAAGAGTGTTCTCCTGACAGAGAGCAAAATCATGGCAGCACTGTGAAAACAGGCTTACTGTGCTTTGATAAGAGAAAAGCACTGCAGACATACAAGCTGCACCCTTAGCAGAAAAAAAAAAAAGAAGAAAAAAAAAAGAAAAAAAAAAAGAAAGAGGTCACCTCATGAGGTGTCTTAAGATGTCTGAAAGAAAACCCTTGTCAAAGAAACTAAATGTTGCAAAGAATGGCAAAAAGCGGTAAATTACAGTTTGGTTTCTTTTTCAAAATAATTCTTTAAATTTAGTCTCTGTACTTAATATTATGTGAAACTTGAAGAATGCATTTTATTACTGACACAGGCTATATACTCCAATGGTTCAACCTTCCAATTTCAAGAGGTGCTTTAACACAATTAGCATACACGTTTTAACATTATACCTCCAGAACTCTAGGTCCTGGCGCTCCAGGGCAGTCAGGAGAGCACCCAGAACTGGATCTCTAGCATTCCATGCTGTTATGCGAGCATAAAAAAAGTAAGTCAGGACTGAAGACTCATGCACTGCTTGACGAGAAGCTATGCTTTTGGTTAGGAAACCAAAAGCCACATTTTTGTAAATAAACAATGAAACCACCATCTTTATATAAATAAGCCAAAAACCTGCAGAGCTTGGGAAGCCTCTCATAGCAGATATTTTTCAGTTTGCTTCTCTGTCTCACATTCGCTGACAACTGTTATTCCCACATCTAATTATTTAAAATGGGAGCTGTGAATGTAAACAGTGTGTGCTTCCACTGTTTTTAACATAGATATATCATTTCTCAGAGTGAACAGCAGCTCCTTGTTCAGTCACATTACGTCGTACAATATTAAAATTCCCTGAGGACGATGAGGAAACTGGAATGTTGCTGCCCTCAGAGTTCCTGGAGTGTCTGTACAGCATGATCTCCAGTACACTGTAGAATAATTTAGGCTGGAAGGGATCCATGGAGGTCATCTGGTCCAACACACCACTCATAGTAGGACCAACTTTGAAGCTGGATCAGGTTGCTTAGGGTCATCTGAGTTCCCAATATGTTCAAGTCTCTGTGCAAACTGTTTGATCAATCTCATTTTAAAAAAAGTCTGTCTATTCTATTTCCCTTGCTGCAAAACTGTAATCTGCAAAAAAATCAGTAATCTCCAAAACAAAATGTATAAATAAGACTAATACATATTACAAATACGGGAAATAAAGATACATTGTCTGTAAATTTACTCAAATAGTCTTTAGAACTAAAGATAGATACTACTAAAGTATCTAATCGGTCCAGAAGGACAACAGACTATAAATGCCAAAAACCCACTTCCTGATACAATATTATTCATGTAAATTCTATTCACATTTGTTGTCAGCAGCGGAAAACTTGTCTACCATGCGGATAGGCTTAATACCCAAACGGTGCAACTCAAATCTAGTATTACTGAAAACAGAACTCAAGAAGCTCAATAACTATATGGCAAATCTATTTAGCAGACATGATTAGAGTAAAAATTCTACAACGATATTTCTTAAAGGACTCATTTTAATTTCAACCTCAAGTAAGATTTCTAAATTATACAAACCCCGTTGTCTACTGAAGCAGTAAATACTGTAATTCGAGGGAAGGAGCCTGTTGTTTATGCATATACATTTGCCCAGTCTTTAAACACAAAACTGTGTTTAACACCAACTGCGTAACTGAGCTTGCTTCTGTAATACCTTCAGAAATGGTGTTAAGCAAATGTATATCCACAAGCTATGCCAAAAGGTTTAAAATTTATCTTGCCTACTTTGAGCAGTCCAAAAGTTAGCCTAGATTTGTTTTCTAAACTCTCTACTGTCAACAGAGATGGGGTAGAGTGATCTCGCGTATCTAAGGATGAAGTTTCACAAAAGTTTCATCTCTCTCCACTGCTTATCTAACTTAGACTAGGTACCTAATAATTAGACTGCCTACCTTAATCTCATCTATTTTGAATATTTAGATTGCTGCATTTTTAAGGGGGAGAACTAGACAAAGAAATCAGGGTGAGAAAATCTACACAAGCACCAAATGATTATAAAGTGATCAGCAGATTAACCAATTAATTTTTTAAAAATTCAGTAACAAATGCATACTCTTTTTTTTTTTTTTTTTTTTTAAACCAAAGCACTAAATTAGTCATGGCTTCAAGAATAAGTGAAAACATGTACACTAAGTTCAAGTATTTAACTGATTACCAGACCAGCACACATACAAAAAGCATAATTTAATTATCATCATTTTGCAGCGAGTAAGCATTAACAATGAAATTTTTAACTGTCACAAGTCTTTATGAATATCTAAAAGCCTAATACAAATATCCAAATTATTAGTAAAGATTAGTCATTTAAAGTGTTACCAATAAGACATTCAGTAACTCTGCATTAACAAGCCCTTTCTAGAAGAATATTAATTTACAGTCATTCTTTCTAACAATTCTTTGTACAGTAAAAAAAATTAGATTTGTGTTTTTCTGCTTCCCTTTCCCACCCAACCACCCACATAGTTTTGCTCTCAGAGTGAGCTACTAGCCAATCAAACCTGACGGTAAAAATCCTCTCAACCAGGGGTCCAAGATCTCAGTTTTAGCATCCAGCTCAAATGCTCTTTGGGACTAAAATCCATGTTTTTGTATAATGTGCAAAGTGCAAGTCTTCTCCAGTGCTATCAGAAGTGTGTGCTGCTAAGAACTTCACCACAGAATAAACCAGTAACAATTAAGACTTTTCCAATAGCTCCGTTACGGACGAATGTTAGATGATGTTTACAGGAATGACAGATCAAGTGGATTATATACCGGTGCTTATTAGGTCAGGTACTTTCTGATTTCATTAGGCCAAACCAATGTTTTTACTCAAGTTCTTCAGTTTCCTCTGTAAAAAGGTCAGCCAAATCTGCCACTGTCAGAACTGAGGCTTCTGACTGTTTCATGGAAGAGCTCGTGTGGCTGTGGGAAAAAATTGCATGCAGACATCAGAAAAGGAATCCACTTAAGTAACAAGCTGTATGCGCTGAAGACAAACCACATGGTTCAGAGTCCAATAACTGTTCAGCTTTGAAGCTCAGCAGGAAAACACACTTTCTATCAGGGAAAATGCATACTCTGATCAGCTACTTCTCTTACACATTTTGAATAAGATACAAAGTCCATCTACTGTCCCTAACAGCGGTCAACACCAAACACTGCAGAGGCAGCAGAACATGGGATAACCCGCTTTGCCCTCTTAACGTTTAAGGGATTGGCTTCAGCTTCCAAGCATAAGGTTTGATATTACTTTCAAAACATTAGCCCTCATTGGATCATTCAACCACTGTATATTTATCTGAATTTTGTATGCAAAAGTAGTGCTACTTTACAGATACGGAAACTGATTAAATCATTCTTTCAAAGCTAAAGCTGAAATCTTTCATAACTACAGCCAAAGATATGCATGTAAATTTTTAGTCTCATAATTTGTAACAGCCAAACAACTGGAAAAATAACTAATTTTCTTAAACTAAGGCCTCCTCCTGGATTTGTTATGTGTATACAATACAGTTAAAGAGGCACAAACCTCTTGTACTTTCTGCATAAAGAATGTAAATACCACTTCTGTTTCACTCCCAGTCCGTCATTGCTTATAGATTTTGACAAGATAAACACAATGAAAACTGCTTTCTGTGTCTGCACACCAGACTGACTTATGAGCTAGCACCTGGACAACTCTTGCACTGACTGCAAAACCAACCAGTGTGACACAGAACTGACAGACTAGGTTTGCAGAATTTAAAAATAATGGAAGAAAGAATTAATGTCCTGTATTAGAGCTTATAACATATGCCGTTACTCCAGTGGCAGGCTTAGTATTACTCTAGTAATTGCAATGCTTTTATACTAATGGAAATAGGTAAACTGAAAAGATAAATCATAACACATAATTTATTAATTAATTGGGCTTTTATGAAATAAAATATAAAAATGTAACCAAAATATTCTCCAGAGAATTAAAATACCTTAAGCTTCAAGTTAGTGGAACCAGGTTAAAAGATCAATTTTTCAAGTCTTAAAACTTTTTTGTCAATCAAAACAATTTGAAAGAGAACAGTTGAAGTTTATATGTAAGATATGCATACCTCACTGTAATAAAAGTATGGCAGAGAACCACCTTTTCATTTTCCATGCAATAATGATGTTTTAAAAAAATTGAACACATACCTTCTATCTACAGTTTTCAGCATAGTCTGCATTCTCTCTTCTATTGTTGCTTTTATCAGGAACCTATGAACAATGGTAGATCTGAATGTGTTAAAAAAGAAAACAAGACCAGAAGTGAGCAGAAGTTATGCTGTTACTGTCAAAGTTCAAGACCGCATTTTTGTCTCATATTGTAAGAGTGCTGAAAAAACGCCTCTGTATTTTAAGAAAGAAATCTTACAAGGTGATTAACAACTTCCGCTGACCTTTAAGGCTGCCTAGTGCCTCCCAGAGCACACACTCCCACTTGGATGGATCACATACTGAATGAATATAAGCTGTATTAACTAAAACCCTAAAGCAAATGCAGAGCAAAGTTCTGCTTTCTGTGTCCGTACTATAAACAAACAGTCCTCAAGTGCCTAGCCTGTCGTTTATACTGCATTGTCACAAGTCAGTCCAAGAGACAGAGCTCAGTGTGATGGATAATTAAAGCTCATTCCCAGAGTTTTAACAATATTGTTCTTGAAGACGGCAAAATACTATAATTTTTTTTTAAAAAGTCAGTAAATGTAGTCAGTAAACATGAAATTGTAAACACCAGTAAAACATAACAACCAAAATGTCAATAAACAGAAGACAAAATGAGAACTCCATTTATGAAATAAAATTTCAAAAAGAAAGCTGTAATAAAAAAAATGAAATGTCAGGCACAAGAAGGTGAAATGGAAGAGAGTCAGCTCCAAAGACAAAAATGAAAAATCACTCCAGGCTCCCCAGTATAAACATTTTTCAAGATATGAACCCTTAAAAGTGCTTGGATGGTTTTCAGATCTTAAGTTGAAACATTGGCAGGTAACATTATACAGAGGAATTCTCGGGGAATACTTTGTGATTCATAGGCAAAAGTCTACCCAAAAAAAGAGAAGTAAATAAGAACAACTGAACTGGCAATAGCTGCACCAGTGAAACTAAACAGAGTATTTCCTTATGCCCACAGTACTTGAACACAGCCCTTTTTCAAATAAGCCTTGCTGAAATCTTATTAAGAAGTACAGCACGCATTCTTGCTGGTTTTATTGTAAGGGTTTTGCTAGACCTTTTGTGCCAGCATCATCTAAAATTATAATGCAGGCTGTTGCAATCAATCTTTCCTATGCCCTCACAGTTAATTCAAAATCTTTACCAACACACCCAAATATCCACCTGTTCATAAACATTCTTTCACATACATGCTCATTCATGCCCTCTCGCTTTGCCTTCATTTCCAGAACACAAACCCCACTATTATTCTAGAATATTATTATTCCAGAATTGATTCCAGCTATTTTTCTTCTTTATGTACAGGGGTTTTTATTATTTTTTCAAGTGACAGGAAACCTAAGGAAAAACATATACATCTTTTCTGTTCAGGACAAACTTTCCAAAACCTTTGTTAAGTGTTCAGTACTACTCGTGTAAAATTTACATCACTGAAACAAACAAAATACATGCAAACTCATTAATGTCTTCAAAAAGATGTAGATGGGGGTGAGGGCAGGACTGCGATTTAAAAACTAATCAGTTATAAAAAGTGTGTGCTATAACTTTCTTCTTGGGAAGAAAAAAAACCAAAAAAACCCCCTCCCCTCCCCCCCAAAAAACCCCAACGACTTATGCAGCTCCTAATCTGGAGCTGGGAATGACCAGCTAGAAGGAGCCTCTCAAGTGAACTAGGAAGGGCTGTACCTGAACTTAGCCACATATGACATAAATGGTGAGTTGCTCAGACCTGCAAAGTTAAGAGATTTCTGGACATGCTTACAAGTAGAACTTTGAAGTGAACAACTAAGGCATCAACGGCACACATAAAATAGGGCAGCAGCTGAATAAGGTTTTTCAGGATTTTGGACTCAAGAGCCTACACTCTTCCTAAATGCCTAAACGCATCTTACCCCCATAGCACAAAAGAACTCCCCAAAATACACATTGTGTATTTTCAGCAAACTTTTTTTTTTATTTTAATCTTTCTGTCCCTTATATTATCACCTTTAAAAATAGGGTTCCTATGAATACCCTCATCTCCAAAATCGAAAAGTTCAGTGAACTAGATTTATTCTGATTACTGTATGCAGTTCTATTCCGGACCACATCTAAACCACTCAGTTCAATTTTAACTCTTACTTTGTTTGGCCAATACGATGTACTCTCCCAATAGCCTGTAGCTCATGTGCAGGATTCAGAATGGGTTCCACAAGCAGAACGTGAGTTGCTTCGATGATGTTTAGTCCATTGGAACCAGTGTGAAGAGGCAGCAGCAAAATATTGATGTTGGGATCGTATTTAAATGCAGAGAGATTTTCCTAAAAGGCAAACATCACAGCAACGTGACCAAAGTTCCTCAATAAAAAGCGTGGGGGACATCTCTATGTTTTCAAGAAATTATAGCAGCTACTACAGGTCCCAGAGTGACAGTCTTGCAGCCTGACTGATCCAAGACCTGTCATCCCAGAACAGATACTCGACAGATATCAGGAAGGCAAGAACTTCTTGCAACAGTGATGATCAATGTGTCTCATCCTTAACATCCATGCTAATGCGTCTTTCTCAAAAGTGAATGTACTGCTCATCTCCAAAGGCTTTAAATTGTGGCTTTTTGTGAGTTAGAGATCAAAGCTTCTGCCAAACAAATTTGCTGCTCTTTCAGTTTCTCAAATGAAGCAGTGTAGTACAAGGACCAAATTAACTTCTATGAACTGTAATTTTCCCCACTGAAAATAATTTTAAGAAAAATATCCTTTATGTACCTGAAATTTACTAATTCCATTGATCTGAGAAAAAATCATGTTGTTGTCATACAAAGCTTTTGAAATTATGTCCAACACATCTTGCCACTGTAAAAAAAAAAAAAAAAAAGAAAAACACACAACACAATAAAAGTAACTCAACATTACAAACAGCAATGACAACTAAAATATACTAATTAACTTCCCTAAGAAAGAGTAGATAAAAAGGCTTTTCAAAATACTAGCATTTACAATTTAAAAAAAAAGGGGGGGGGAAGGGGGGGAAGGATTTGTGTGCCAGGAACCGAATCTTTCATAAAACTAAATAAGAAATACAATTTAAAAGATCAGCTTGAATAAAAGAAATTGGTAGCCATCACAAAATCAGTTTTACAATGTATCAAAAATATCTGGACATTACATTTAAAAATATCTAGAATTTCTAATGCTCCCATATAAATCTAAATGTTTGCCCTTTAAAGAAACAAGCTTTTACATCTGTTGACTACGATCATTGTTTATGTCCCAGTTACATGAATTGCCCTACAAATTCTCAAAACAATCAAGTGGCTGTCCAGAGTGATTCAACATTTTGGTAGCTAAACTAATTCCTGAAAATATTATGACTGCTTTAAACTCACACATGCACAAAGACAAGACAGAAAATGGTGATTAATACCGTTGAGAAAACTAAGGATTTAGCCCCTGGATCTTTAAATTGAATTCTCTTCAGTGTTCGGACCACAGCTTCCACTTTGGTGGAGTGACTTCCCTTTGAAAAGACAAAGAACAGCATTAGTAAAGTAAGATATTAAACAACTCCTTCCACATTCATTGTTTTATCAAATAATGTTATATTACAACTCTTACATATCTTTACACAAATTTAAAAATTAGCAACCTGGAGGAAGGGCAGGTTAAGTAGCACTGAACTGCTTTTATGCCTCCCTTATAATGCACTGCCATAGAATCAGCAGTGTATTCCAGCACGTGCAGTACATGGAAGAATGAAGTGCCACACAGATACACCTACCTAGTTCTGCGTGAGGCAGAATGGATAGCCAAGCAGTGCAGTTGCACCAACCATGCCAGTTAGGCCTGCTGAGGTTTACCTTAGTGCCGCAACCTTTAAAGAATCTTCCACAAACGCACATTTAAATTTCCCTCCTTTCACACCTCTTGAAAACTGGCAATGAAAAAACCTACCTCGATGTCATTTCTGTTGCTTTTGTTTCTCACTCTGGCAACACCAAACTTATGCTCAGTACTATGAAGCTTGTTAATTATATTTAAAATAATAAGAAATTGGTAAATATAATTAAATTAGTTCTTGAATGATTGCGTGCTGCAATGAAAACATCTTCATATTCTGCACTCAGAAGTCTTTCAGTGCTTAATGAATCCAATACTACATTCTACTTCTTGTCCACTTTGATTTCTGTAGTCCTCCCTTTCCCCTTAAGTCAGGAAGAGGATTCAGAGAAACAGTTCTTCAGTATCTCCCTCTATTTCCTTCAGTATGTACTTTGTATTACAACAATTTTACCTAATGTGTTTTTTTTAAGAAGCCCTTATTTAATTTCTTACTACTTCTTACATGCATAGTAATTTCAAACTGCACTAGATTCAGCTAGACAAATATTGTTTTATTTCTGTCTGCATCTGTCCTCTGAACATTGAATTAACTATGTTGGCTTGCTACAATGACAGATAAAATTTACTGAAGTTATGCTACTTGCAGAATTGGTTGGGAAGGATATCAGCAGACTAAGCACAAGTTGGGAACCAGTGCTGTGCTGCTCGATCATTCATATGTTATGCAGCTAAATAAATGCTCCAGAAATACATGTAAAAGACTTTCTGCAGACTGTTTTACCAAAGGCTGCAATAAGCAGTACCATTTTATTTCCAGGGTCTTCCATAGTGATTCCAACTCTGTGTCACAGACATAGAAGTAAACCAGCTTTTTCCATGACATCTCTGTTGCACCTGGTAGACACTAACACTGTTTCCAAAGTCAGAGAGACAATTAAAAATGCTTAGGTCAGTAGGTGTTATGATCTGCAAGGATGAATGACACATTTGCAGCACTACAGCGGCTGCCTGCCAATCATGACCACCTTCAGGTAGGAGATCTGAGACTAACTTTTAGTATTTCCTATATATTCCAGGGTCATTTATGTGCTTTTCTGATACCATTCGTCTGTGATTCAATGATGACAATTCTGGCTAATCTACTCTGTCTTTTGCTCAGAGACTTTTTTGGACCTTACCGTAGGTCCTATTTTTCCCTGCTGTAAGAGGTAGTAGCTTTAGCCACTGTTGATCTTTCCACCCTTCAGACTTTCTGTGACTCAGGTGTTACAAACACGACTTTGTACAAGATCAGTCAGAGGAACTATGGCGAAGAAAAAACAGTACAATGATCAAAGTGGTTACAGTTTTTTTGCTTTATTTTTTAAACAAGATAACTAAGTGTGCGAAGTTCTCCATCCCTCTGCTTACATTATATTAGACAAACTATATTAGACTTGTCATTGAACTAACAACTGACTAAAGCTTTGGTTCACAGTACACAAAAAATTTCAATTTCTTCTCAATATTTATGGATAGATGAAACTGAGAGTTTTCAGTCTGTCTTAAAAAAAAAGTGTTACCCCACTCATTACCCATATACCTTGAGTTTGTCATTTTATTAAATATCCAGATGAATATTTATAAACAGATTGGCTAGTTCTAATTAATGATGGAACAGCACACATCAGAATCAAAACTATCGTCTAACAAACAATTTCTGTCTCAGATGACAGGCTGGCAATACCCACTGTAATACTGACCAGACACTGGAGGCTTTTACAGAACCAAAACATACAGGGTTGCCAGTAATCTCTCTCTCAGTATAAAATGCTCCCATTTACAGTAGTCCTTTTGCATCTAAGTCATTAACTTAAGATGGTTAGTGCTGGTACAATAAAGAGCAAGATATATATGATACAACGGAAGGAGAAAAAAAAAAAAGAATGTATGAATACTGAAAGAGAGCAGAGGGACTGAGAAAATTCAGATTAAAATATAAGTGCTGAATAAATCACACAATTTTTATATATAAACTGCAAGATATTGATCTTAACCTCAGTATTCTATAGAAACCATAGTAAGTTAGTTATCCTTTGTTAACTGTCCTTAAAGGAGCATGAGGTAGAAATTTTTATTTTTAACAATGCTGCTTGTTTTGACAGTATATACAATGAAGCTACAGTATAAACTGTTAATTTTTCGTGAAATAAGAATGGGCCTTGCTCAAGATGACATGTGAATTCACACAGAATTCGTATTTTTGCTTTGCCTGAAGTTTTTGATGCAGAAATACTTCAAGAAAATGCTACAACCTTTTACGCAGGACAGTAGATGACATGTTCCTTCTGTGTTTTAGTTATGAAATTTAGTTATTCTATTTATTTTATTTTTTTAACACGATTTATGAAACATATTTGAAATTTTCTTGTTAGAAACAGGGTGATATTTCTAAACCTTGAGAAAATAATTTGTTAAAAAAACCACACATGAAGTGAGGTCCTAATAACTAGCACTTAAAAAATATAGCCTATTTACTCCCCCTGGTGCCACATGCTGTCAACTACTTCAAATCGAGTAATTTCAGTTTGGAAGCATCTATTCATAAAATGGAATTCCAGTTGTCCAGGGAGGCTGACATAACTAGTGTGAACATGGTAGCATTGACTTCAGTACAGGCCAGCAACCCTAGTACACCTGCCAGGTTGAAGGAAACTTGCACAGCTACCATGGAACTATTTGTCAGCACATTTCGTTATTACTTTTAACTACACTAACCAGATTAAAACTATGATTTGTATGTCCAGCTGTATTATAATCATATTTTAATTAAAGGTAGCAGTATCATCTAGATCAAAGTATTACCAATATTAGTCTTTTACCTTTGCATTTTAGTCCAGAATCCTCTCTTTTTTCCACAACTGCAATAACAACAGGTTTTTGGTTTAACACTCTTCTATAACAGATTTGTGCAAAGCAAAAATGTACCGGTGCACTATGTATGAGTCAGTATTGCTAAAGACTCATGGAGATGCTGTCTCTTCCTCCACCCCTGCCTTCAACCCACTGAAAACCCTCTGTTACCAAGAAAAGTAGATAAAACAGTGCAATCAGGACTGTTTTCCTACACATTTGTTTCTAGAGGTTCATTAACTTTTGTCATTAGGAAGGCATACAAGTTACAAATAAAGTTTCCCCCACAGACTTGAACTTTAAAGTATCTTTTGTAGTAAGGGGAAAGTCAAGCCACAGTATTTTGCTAAGTAGGAGACATACATTATGTGGATGGCTATTTTAATAAGACTTGTAGAAAATTAATTACCTTTGAAACTCAGACTCTCTGTCAAGCTGTTTGAAATGATTTAATGGGTTGCTAAATTAAGGGAGAAGTCTAAGATAGTACAATGAAAAGACCTTGTCTCCTTAGAAAGCCAGGCTAAAAGGAATAAACACAGAAAGTCACAGTGGAAAATACAGCTACCAGTCCTCAACAGACCTGTACGTTGTCAGTAGAAAGTCTTGAAAAAGAAATTGCCCAGGCAGGGAGCCATTTTAAGGCCAAAAGTCACTCTTTATTCAACAATCACCTTTTCAGTAGGTATATCTATCCAGTCAGTGAGGCTTTAACCAAATACCAACAAGTTTAAAATGCAGATAGGAGAGAAGCACTAATAGTTTTTCCAAAGTTTTCCTTTTGATTTTTCAAACAAAAAAAAAAACAAAAAACCCCAGAAAGAATACTGTTGCAGATATCCAGCTGCACAGAGTCAACACTCATCTAGAATACGGAGAAAAAGCTTACACCACAGAACTAGATCAAAAGAATTGGGGATGAGCTTTAAGAAAGTGGCCTCACAACCATGTTATTGATTATACACTTGTAGGGA